CAAGAATGAGAAGGCATATCATGTGGACCTATCAGATGCATAATTATTCACATTGTGCTCAACTATATTTAGTAGGACTTACTCCCAAATGAGCAGGCATAAGGTAGCAAACCTTGTGAACTGCACCCTGTTCCTTAACACCCATCTTACAGGCATAAATCAAACTTTCCAGGTGTTGGTAGAGTTCAGGAAATAACCCAATCCACGCTTTGGTTTGCTTTCAATGAATTTACTGCAACAGGATTTTGCAAAAAGACAATAACTGACTGTAGGCCATTAATGCAACAGAGAGGCCTTCAGAGCACAAGCAGTAACACACAGCAGAAAAAAGAAACAACAAAAGGTAGGTTGAACTGCAAGAGAAAAACATTCAATGAACCCTAAACACTAGAGAATGCTCCACAGCTAGGGTACAAGTGGACTAAACCACTCTTTCAGCCGTATTTACAGTAACTAGACTCTTAGCAGGCTGTCGCTTCTCCAACACCCCTTCTCAACAGCATGTGTACTATTCCACCATGTTTAATTTTGCTAGAAGGGTCCAATGGTGGTCTCCAGGCAATGGTTTCGTGAAAGCATCAGCAGTCATTTCTTTGGTTGATAAATGGGGTTGCCAAGTGGAACTTACCTTGGCGGCAGGGGACTCCTGGGTGGATCCCGGAGCACGCGCGCACCGCACATACGTCAACAGGAAGTGACGTTATGATGCCGGGCATGCTGGGGGCGGGGCCACAACCATACAAGGGAAAACCATAGAGTTTTCCCTTGTATGGCCGTGGCCCCGTCCCCAGCGTGCCTAGCGTGCCTGCCGCACTTCCGCGTGATGCACACATCGGGGAGGAGTTCCCCCCGGGGCCCGATCCAGTGGCGCCGGGGAACGGGCCTCTGGGGCGGGGGTTTCCCCGCTCCCCGGTGGGACTTGGGATCCCTATTGATAAATACTGCATGTTAATGACTCCTTGATTCTGCATATCTTTCAGAAGATTATACTTAACATCAATATGTTTAGACTGTGAGTTGACCTTTTCAGTCTATGACAGTTTTATACACCCTTGATTGTTCTCAAAGATTGTTATTGGTTCACGTCTGTCCAGTCCTTAGTCTAATATTAACTGACGAATCCAGATAGCCTCTTGGCATGCTTGTGCAGCTGCAACATATTCCACTTCTGTTGAAGAAAGTGCTACAGTTGTCTGTTTTTGACTTGTCCAGCTAATGGTCCCGATATCCACTGGTGGACTTCCTATCAGTGGCATCCCCGACCCAGTCATGTTTTCCGTTTTGGATCTGAAGTTGCTGGTAGTTGCAACTTCAACTGACCTGTTTCCTTCAGATACCGCACCACTCTTTTCACTGCATTCAGTCTACCTGGCTAGGTGCAGAAACTTTCCCACTCAGAAATCCTACAGCAGCAGTTATACCTGGCCTAGACATTGTGGCTAGATACAATAGTTTTCCCATTGCCTCGCAATATTGATTATTATTTGACAATGCTTCTTGACTGCTGTCATTTTTCAGGTATCCTACTTCCATGGGTGTTTTCACCTCTTTTGCATCTTTTATTCCAAAATACTCCAGCATTTTTTGTTTCTGACTAAGGAGATAGGTCATATCAGCTTCTCTTTCTATCTAGATACCAAGATAATATATGATGTCACCCAGTTGTTTCACTTCAGAATTTTTATTCAACTGGTGTATTATCCTATTACAGTCCCCTTCTTGTTCAAAACAAAGTGTTATGTCATCCACGTAAATCAGTTTGTATGTCGATCTGTTATCTTGCTTTCTGGTGCACAAACATGGATCTGCTTTGCCTCTCATGAATCCTTCTCTGGGGAGTACTTCATTTAATTTCTCATTCCACACTGTGGCTGCTTGCGTTAGGCCATAAATACTCCTTTGGAGTTTACGTACAAGGCTCTGGTCTTCTGATTCCTTAAAGCCAGGTCCATTAAATATCTTTTGTAATATCACCATACAAAACGGCAATTTTAATGTCTAAATGTTTAACATGCGTTTCCTTTCCCGCCGCTACACTCAGTAAGGTTCTTATAGTTGGGATACTTTACTACTGGAGCAAATGTCTCATTGTAATACTCACCATATTTTTGGGAGTATCTGTGAATTTTCATAGACCTTTATTGGCATATCATCAGTCGTAAGATATATAAAACATTGTTTCATAAAATTAAAATCTAAGATTCCGTACAAATTTAGTACAATCAAAATAGTATCTAATTTTTTATACCTTAAGAACTTCTGTAAGAAACTTAGCAACATCATTAGTGATCTCGGGGATTGAATCATTCAAGAGAAGTTGACATTTTGACTTATTACTCAAATAACTTTTAGGAAGGAGCCAAGTTAGAAGGAATTTTCTGCGAGGTAGCTCATACAGGGGGCATTCGACAATTATATGCTCAATTGTGTCCAGGGAATTGAGATCACAGGGGCACAGCCGTTCTTGTCTTGGGATTTGATGGTATCTGCCATAGAGTATTCTAGAGGGAAATGTGTTAACCCTGGCCAGAAGAAAAGCTCTGCAATGAAGAGGGATGTCGAGATTGTAAAAATATTGGGGCATCTTGCCTAAATGGTTAAAGAGGCCGAGCATGGCAGGTGAATAGATATGAGGTTGGGTAGGGTGTAACTTTTGGATATCAATATCTAAGAATCGTTGTTTGATTAGTTTACAAATATGAGGTTCATTGGTTAGGGCTAGGTCTTCAAGAGGAACACTAAGTTGTCTTAATTTGGATATAATTATGGAGTCCCAGGAGGAATTATGCAGTTCTTTTTGCAAAAAAGATAAAAGGGAGCCCGGCTCAGCTCTAAAGTATATCCTGAGCCAGTAGCGTGTCGTTAAGATCTAGGCCTTGGTCTCAATCAAATTTTGGCCAACTTCAGAGCAGATTGTAAATTAAGGCACACATTTGGGGATACCCATTATTTGTCTAAGAAAGATTGCTTGGATGTTCTCCACATCACGGTTAAGGGCAGTGAACCAAATAGGGATTCCAAACAGAACCTGAGATAGAATCTTAGAGTTAAATACTCTGATTGCAGCAGGGACATACTGATTGCCGTTGATAAAAAAGAAGAATCTAAGTTGGTTTAGAGAGATCCTCACTAATTTTATAGTCCTACTTCTATGAGTTGCCCAACTGAGATTATAGTTGTAGGTTACACCAAGGTATTTATAACTTTTGACTTGTTGAATTCTAACATTGCCAATGTGCCAATTGTAGGGAGCCCATTTTTTTGAAAATACTACCACATTAGTCTTGGTATAGTTGATTTTAAGTAGATTTGAGTGGCAATAGTTGTTAAAAGCTGCTAAATATCTTTGAAGTCCAATTTTAGTGAAAGATAAAATATCAGTATTATCTGCGTATAAAAGGATGGGTACTGATTTGTCTCCTGGTTTAGGTGGATGGGATTTTATTGGTCAGCCTACCATTTGGAGAGTACTTAACTTGACTTGTTATGCCTGTATGTTTTTCGTTTAGAAGGAATAGGAGACGTAAGTCAATTCTTAGTTTGAGCAGTTTATCCCATAGTTTTTCCCTTGAGATAGAAGGCACTTTTTAAGTCTATGAAGGCTACAATGAGTTTTTTATTACCTAGTTTCATATATGTTTCGGCTAGGGTAGAGAGAATCAGACAATGATCTAGGGTTGATTTATTTTTGGAGAAGCCAATTTGTTCTGGCCCTGTGATGGCATTAGATTGGACCCAGTCGAGTAAGCAATGTTCTAGGTGCTTCGCATATAGTTTCCCATGATTGATAGAAGGCTGAGAGGGCGAATGTTTTTAGGTAAATTAGGATCGCCCTTCTTGTAAACTGGGATTATGATTGAATTTAACCATGAATTTGGGAGAACACCATACTGATCAATGGATGTAAATAGCTTAGCTAACAGAGGGGTCCACCAATCAGCAGATTTCTTGAAAAGTTTGGTAGGAAGTCCATCAGGGCCAGGGGCCTTTCCTGGTTTCAGGTTAGTTGTTAATTCTGTGATTTCATCAGTACCTACTGGAGGCCACCTAGGAATATTAAAGGGGATCATCTCATCAGGGCTAGATAGGGGAGCAGTATGCCTTAGAGCCTTCAATTTCCCCTTCTGCATTATATCTAATTTTGAATGTCCATTTGAATCTTATAGTTCTGTGCCCGGGTTGCAATTTGGTGGGTGTCCAAGTCTTATTCTTGTGAAGTGATTGTATCTCCTCTGCTGCCTCTCTCCACTTTCTGGCTTCACTTTCAGGCAACTTGGAGATATCTTCCCAAGACAAGGGGTCAGATATTTTCTCAGCTTTGGCTATAGAGGATAGTCTGCGAGCATCTGAGGGTTGTAACTTTGCTTGGCCCCATTTCCTCTTGAAATCCTAAGAAGTCTGTGCTGAATTCCACCTCTGCTTCTCTTGGTCTTGCTGTCTCTTACTCAGTTGTTAATGAGTTTTCTTTAACTTCTACAGGTTGCATCAGATTTAGACCTTAGGTCTCATCAAAGTATACTGTACTATTTATTGCAGCCTTGTTTGTCTTCAGGAATAGAATTCTGTACCCTTTAGAGTGATCACTGTAACCCACTAGTATTCCTTCTGTGGCTCTATTGTCCAGCTTTGAGAATTTTTACTGGGAATGAAAGTATAGGCTTTGTACCCACTTTCATGTGCTTAATGCTTGGCTTTGATCCATGCCGTAATTCATATGGAGTGCTGTCAATTGCTTTACATGGTGATCTATTTTGTAGATATGTTGCTGTCATAATTGCTTTGCCCCAATACTTATTTGGCAATCCAACACCCAGAAGTATGCATTTTGTTCTGTACCCTGTTCTTTTATGTACTGCTTTACTTGTATACCCCTCCCATTGTGTGTGCAGAGTGTTTGTGGCTTCCTTTGGAACTTATTGCTGGCTGTTGCCACAAACTCTTGGAGTTTCCCAAACTTTTCACTCTTTTGTTTCAGGAGATACGTGACAGTGTACCTGGAATAGTCATCGATGAAAGTCATCAGGTATTTGTTTCCTCCTGATGTAACAGTTCTCATGCATCAGCAAATATCACTATGCACTACCTGTAGGGGATGTGTAGACTTGCTTTCACTGCTTTTAGGGAGTGAGGCACACTTGACATGACATCATCTTCCTGTCCTTGGTTAAGCCTTGGTTTTCAGGCTGTTTCATGGATTGTGGGTGTCTGTTTCCTAGATGTCTGTGCCACAAGTAGATGCAGTTGCTGTGACAAATTTGTGTAGTGATTCTAGCCTCCTCATTTGGTAGGTTAAGCTTATACAGATGCTCCTTCATGATTCCTCTGAGTATAACCACTTTCCCCTTCTTAATCTCACATTGGTTTCTTTGAAATTTCACTGCAAAACCATTACTGGTGAGGTGCTTCACAGACAGAAGGCTTCCATCCAGTTCTGAAACACACAGGACATTTTTCACAAGGAGTTTACGTGTTCCTTTAACTGGCTGCATATTAATGCAGCCCGAGCACTTTAAGAATCCATACCCAATTCCTTCTGCAGTGATCCTTCTTCCATCTTCAGGGAAGATCTTCTCCTTTGTGCTGAGATCAAGATCCGTGAAGAATTCCTGGGTGCTTGTCATGTGGCTTGTGGTGCCTGAATCAATGTACCATCCACTTGATGTGTTCCTCTGCATGACCTTTAGACATCCATCTCATTCTTCATCTACAGATTCACTTGCAGCTTTCTTAGCCTTTTCTTTGGGTGATTCTGTGATTCGGTTTCTGTTTAGTTCTCCAGATTGAACAGTTCTTTTTCAGATGTCTGGCCTTTTTGCAGCAGCAACGCACCCTGGTTTCTGTCATGTGCTTTATCGCCTTATTTACCTTGAGAGCTCTTTCTGGTTTTTCAGTGTCTTCCCCTGCTTGTAGTTCTTTTCTGCGATTATACTCATCCATTAATTTGCCGTTAACATATTCAGGTGTTAGATCTGCTTCTGGTCTAGTTTCAACAGCATTGATGAGTGGACCATAGGACTCTGGAAGACTGCACAGTAATAGTGCCATTGTCTGACTGTCTTTTATTTCTTCTCCAAGCCCACGCAGCTGTTCCACAATTTCTAGCATGGCATTTACATGTTCATGCATATCTTGCTCCCTGCCAAGTCTCCTTTATACAGTTTATGCAGCATATATAGCTTACTGTTTAGGCTCGAATGCTCGTGCACTTTCTGGAGTGCATTCCACATACGTTTAGCCAGGGGTTGTTTCGTAGAAAAAGAGCTAGGGGAACTCATTAGCATAACTCATTAGCATATGCCACACCCCCTGACATCACCGGAAGTGTGTCATAAGACCACACACCCCGCCCCCAACAGTCCCGGCCGCCACCGCTGGCTTTGCAGCTCCACTGCCGAGCCCCATGAGGGGCCCGGCGGTGGACCTGCAAGGCCGGCGAGAGTGCAAGGAAGCAACTTACCCTCCCTCTTCTCCTGCCTCCTCCTGGCTGAATGAGGGCCGGAAGTGGGGCAGCCGGAAGCGGGGGCGGGGCTTCGTCATGTGCCCCGCCCCCCTGTACCTCACCCTGGGGGAATTAGTTCCCCCGCGTTCCCCCCCGAAATGACCTCTGCGTTTAGCTATATCTTCTTTCCTTATGTGGATCAGCTGATCATCTTCCACTAACAGGCTTGTAGTTGCCTTTGCTTGCCTGTTTTTCTTGTCCCATGCTGTAGGATAATTGGCTGGTCTGTCAGCACTTAAAACATCCCAGAGGTCATCTGTGCACAGCAGCATTTCCAGTTTGAACTTCCACAGCTGGTAATTGCTAGTATTCAGCTTGGCCACTGCAAACTTAATATCTGCACTGCTTGCCATCTTCCTCTGGATTGGGCATGCGGCGCCCCCTCCTTTCTCTTACTGACTCACAGTTAGAGCTTTCTTGCAATTTATCCTGAGGTCTGAGTCCATGACCTGCTGGCAGAGTACAGGAAATAATCCAATCCACGCTTTGGGGGTTAGCTTTCAAAGAATTTACTACAACAGGATTTTGCAAAACGACAATAACTGGCTGCAGGCCACTTATACAGCAAAGAGGCCTTCAGAGCACAAGCACTAACACAGACTAAAACATAGCAGAGAGAGGAAACAACAAGAGGTAGGTTGAACAGCAAGAGAAAAACATTCAATAAACCGTAAACAGAGTATGCTCCACAGCTCCCCCTAGGGTACAGGTGGATTAAACTACTATTTCAGCCGTATTTACAGTAACTAGACTCTTAGCAAGCCATTGCTTTTCCAACAACAGGTTGACTGCTCATCAAGGAGTGAAACAAGACTAGCAGTGAGGAACACTCCTTTCTCATTGAAAAGAAATAGCATAAGGGATAATTTCATGTAGTTCTGAGTATTGTGAATGAAACCACCAACTATACTTGTTTGTTTGTTTCCCCCCGGAAGTTTTGCTGTTGCTTTCCTTCTTCTTCATGCAAATCAACATGCAACTCATGCTCATTAAAATTCAGCCTTGGGTGTTTGCATAGATTTGCCCAGCAGCAATGGAATTCATTTTAATAATGCCATTATTCCTACTTTGTATGAGCATCACTTACATAATCTAATCATAAATGCAAGCAGCTTTTGGGCTTTGATTTCCCATATGTTGTAAGCCTTGTACAAAGCATTTTTTAAAAAACCAAATGCCCTGTTAAATCTCAGTACAATGATGCCTCTGTTAAACAGAAAGAGTAAGAATCAGCTAAAGTTCTCAGCTCTCTCACACTCTACATTTCCTGGCTCAGATTTTCATTTAAAGCCATGCTTTGAAAAAAATAAAAAATCCAGCCTTCTGACCACAGATCTCTGGCAATTATTATCTCTGCGCTACATGCATTTGCAACTTTGAGTCTGTTACATTATCACTTTACATCACTTGAAACATCCTACATGTACACTTTGAAAATGTAGAGAGCAATCCTAAACAAGTCTACTCAGCAGCAAGTCCTATTTTATTCAGTGGGGTTCACTGCCAGAAATGTGTTCTTAGGATTGAAGCCACAGTGTGTGGCCCTAAGTAAACATTATATTGGCTACCTGGTGTGGATACAGTATGGCTATTGTGGATATGCATTTAGACACACTTGCATGGTGCTGTTGGATGAAGTGCCATATCAGTATATAGATCTTTGATGCAAATAAAATGGCTTCTCCATTTGAATCAAATCATTATTACTCAGTGGAGATAAAGGGAGGATATACATATCCAAATAAATGAATATGTAGTATTGCGCTGTTATTTCCACTATATAGTTTCAGTTCTCATGTGACCTGTGGAATATATATGTATATATATGTGTGTGTGTATCTGTGTGTGTATATGTGTGTATATATATATATATATAATATATGTATATATCTCTGTGTGTATATGTATATATATATGTGTGTGTATCTCTCTCTCTCTCTCTCTGTGTATCTGTATATGTGTATATATATGTACTAATAATGATTATGGCATCCAAGCCATGAAGCTGAATGGTACAAAAAAGAAAGCATAGAATAATGTAGCAGTTTGCATCTGCCAAAGGTATTTTAATGATTCCTGATTTCCATCTGAATAGCCCTTCTTCCATGGCATTTATTACTTCAGGGCATCCGTCTTGCTGGTGTTTTGTACAAGCAGATTTCCCTAATGGTTCAGATGCCCTCTTGTGAATGTACATCCTCTGGAGAATACACACAACCCCTCCAAGAATCTTAATGTTCCAAGAGCGCTCTGTCACAGCCTGATTCTGTAGCTGTCTGAAGCTAGACAGCTTACAGCAGAGGTGTCGAACTCATTTGTCACAAGGGCCGGATCTGAAATAAGTGTCACTTTGTGGGGCCAGGCCATGTGTGCCATAACATGTAATGCCAGGTACCAAAAACATAAACTGTATAAAGAACAACAACTGGTAAGCTCCGAGTTGGTGTGTCCTTGCTGCAAAGCCTCATGGGCTGGGAGGGGGCGTGCAAAGGAAAACCTGTATAGCAGACAGGAGAGCCAGCTGTGCAGCCCTGTGCAGACGCTCCCACACTGCTTGACTGCTGCAGACGAAGTTGTTCCGCCGTGCTGAAGCCACAATCGTAGTGGCTCTGCCCATTTCGCCTCGAGCAGTCTCCTGTTCCCTCCCTTGCACCAGTTGCTCACGGGCCACATAAGAGCCCTGGGCAGGCTGGTTCTGGCCCCCGGGCCTTATGTTTGTCACCCCTGGCTTACATGGCAACTTTCTGTGGTGGCTTCCTAGGCTAGACAAGCCCATCCTGCTAATGTAACGTGCTACTGTGGTACGTCATGCACTTTGCCCCATATAACCATGTAGGTGATTCTGTGGTGGTTTTCTGGAGGGTGGTGCATACTCTCTTCTTTCCACTGCTTTTCTATTGCATAGGAGTTTTGCCAGCCACGGCTGTACCAAGTTTGCCAGTGTGGCTGTCCATTACCATTGCAACGTTGTGCTGCAGCTCCTATTGCCAACCACATATAGTCTTCAGCAGGGCTTTTTTGTGTGGGAAAAGCCCAGCAGGAACTCATTAGCATAATAGGCCACACCCCCTGACAGCACAGCTCATTAGCATATTAGGCCACACCCCATGCCTTCCCTTGGCTTGCTTGAACGCCCCGTGGCTGCAGGGAGCCCAGGCAAGGTGGCCCTTGGACAGGCTGGGGAAGGCATGGGGAGGCACTTAAATGCTTCCCTGATCCTTCCAGCCCCAGCCTGCCTACCTGCCTCAGAGTCATGGGGGGGGTGTGCTCTCTAGGCCTTCCCTCTGTAGCCACGCACGCAGAGATTTTGGCTGTAGTGGGCGTGGCCAACTCTGAAGCCAGCCGGAACTCTGTTCCTGTGCGTTCCTGCCCAAAAATAGCCCTGGTCAGGAGCCTTAGCAGTATCTTGTGCCTGATGCTGAATACTTATTTGCCCATGTGTACAGTTTATTGCAGAGGAGCTGCGATGGCTCAAGTGGTTAAGATGCTGAACTGCAGGCTGTGGAAGGTCAGTAGTTCAGCAGTTCGAGACCCGGGTGCCGCATGACGGAGTGAGCTCCCGTCTCTAGTTCCAGCTCCTGCCAACCTAGCAGTTCGAAAGCAAGAAATTGCAAGTAGATAAATAGGTACCGCTTCGGTGGGAAGGTAACAGCGTGCCGTGCGCCTTGGTGTTTAGTCATGCCAGCCACATGACCACGGAAACGTCTTCGGACAGCGCTGGCTCTTCAGCTTTGAAACGGAGATGAGCACCGCAACCCTAGAGTCGGATTCGACTGGCTTTCGAGCAAGGGAACCCTTACCTTTACCTTACAGTTTATTGCATCACTAAGGTACTTTGAGGCACTCATAAAGAAATGGATTGCTGTCACTATTATGCAGGGCCATAGCTGACCAGGGGTGAGGGGGACTAGTGAGGAGGGGGCTAAGCCCCCCTAGGATGTGCCCAGCCCCCTTCCCGATGGATGCCAGACCCTCCCCTTCCCTCTCCATGAAGCCTACAACTGCTGCCACTCCAAGCCCTTCACTGCAGCGTTTCCCTCTCTTGCCTGGTTCCCTGTGTGTGCGGAGGAAGCACGTGGATGGGGGGGGGGAGAGAAGAGGAGAGAGGAAAATCCCACCCCCAGCCCCAGCACATGCAAAGGGTCTGGCTGCTGGTCGGGAGGGCGGAGCAAGTGAGAGCAGGCAGGGAAGGAGCGCTGTGGAGTTGCATCAGTCTCATGGCGACCCCATGGCATTTTCAAGGCAAGAGGCCCTTCCCTCCGCCCCGGACTCCGTTGTTGCATTCACAAACGCTTCCTAAATTCAGCGCCATGTCACTCGCTTTTTAAAGGCTGCAGTTGTGTTTATGATGCTTCATGAGGGAATTCTGAAAGTCTCCATTAATCAATATAATGTAGTTAATTAAATTATCCACCGTGCCCCCTCTCTGCCCCACCACACGGGAAAAGGTCTAGCTACGGGGCTGCTATTATGTTTTCATTAAGAACATAAGAAGAGCTCTGTTGAATCAGACCAAAAGTCTCTTTTCTTCAGCATTGTTTCCAACAGTGGTCTACCAGATGCTCCCAGCAGTCGTACAAGTAGCTACTTATGGGCTAGGTTACAAGGAATATCCTAGCCCCACCTGCACTGCTAATAGTGAAGGCAGCTCCTTTATGGACAGGTCTTGAGCAGTGGCGACAGAAGCCTTGTTCACAAGTTATAGCTAACGTTTGTACAGTCTGTAGACTTGATTTTAAAAAATACATACATTCAGTAGTTCTCATGTAACGTTCAATGCATGTACAGCTGGACATGTGATATAAAGTCCACATCAATCCAGATTAGGGGTGTACAGGGGGGGAAATTCATTTTCCCCCGGATTCAGGTATAATAAAGCTGAATTTTTTCGGGAATCCAGAATATACCTGAATACCAATACTGGTATTGTATTAGTACCCCAAACTTTTTGGTATTCCTGAATTTTTTTGGCTCCATTATATCCTATGGGGTCATTGTAGTCAGTGGCAAAAATCTTCTAACAAGTATTCAGGGGGTTGGGGGGAGGGGTTTGAGGTAGAGGTACCAAATTTGTACTGTAGCTGTTGAAGCCTCTCCCCAAAAGATCCCCCCAAGTTTGGAAAAGATTGGACCAGGGGGTCCAATTCTAGGGGTATCCAAAGAGAGTGCCCCCAATCCTCCATTGTTTCCTATGGGGATGGGGAAAAGGCAGGCAGCAGTGTCTCCCCGAGAATATCTCTGCAAGAAAGTAAGTGAGGTGTGGTGGTGTGAGGGGGCATGTTTGTCAGGCCAGCAGCAGAACTGGTGCAGTGTGCCCCCAGAACCAGTGCTACTGTGGCAGTCAGTGCCCAAACCCAACAGGACTCAGGTAAAATCAGAGAATTTCTGCAGTATAACTACAACAACAAACCAACAATCCCAGAAATATAACTCACAGAAAAAAGCATTTTTTTAAAAACTGCAACAGGCACAAAAGCACAAACCAGATGAACCAGAAACAACCAGAAAGGAGAGGAGGAAGAAGAGATTGGATTTATACCCTGCCCTTCACTTGGAGTCTCAGGGTGGCTTACAAACTCCGTTTCCTTCCCCTCCCCACAACAGACACCCTGTGAGGTAGGCGGGGCTGAGAGAGCTCTTTCCAGAACTGTCCTTGAGAGAACAGCTCTGACAGGACTATGGCTTGCCCAAGGTCATCCAGCAGCTGTAAGTGGAGGAGTGGGGAATCAAACCCAGTTCTCACAGATTAGAGTCTGCACACTTAACCACTGCACCAAACTGACCTAGTCAGCCCCCCCAACCAACAATCCCAAAAATATAAATCACAGAAAAAACATTTTTAAAAAACTGCAACAGGCACAAAAGTACAAACCAGAAGTAACCAGAAAGAGAGGCCCAAGAGAGCCTGCCTAGGTCCTAGGCAGAAGGCCTAGTCAGTTAACACCCCCCCCCCCAAAACCCAACAAGCCAGCAAAAAAAAAACCAATCCCAGAAATATAACTCACAGGGGTGAAAAAAACAATGTTAAAAGCTTGAAAAGGCACAAAAGCATAAACCAGATAAACCAGAAACAACCAGAAAGAGAGGCCTGAGAGGCCCTAAAAGGCTACCCACCACCACCACACCAACCCCAGGCCCCAAGCCCATCAACCCACAACAAAATAAGAAAATTTTTTAAAAAGTGGCCATAATATAAGTCAAACCAGTGATGACTCCTTTTCTTCAGTCTTCTTCTCTTGACTTGATCTGAAGTAGTCCAAGTCAGCAGCAGCAGGAAAGCAGGCTCAGAGCAGTGGCTGAAACAGAAGTCAGCCACACAATCTCCAATTCAGGCTCTTTCTCAGCAACAGGAACAGGAATGGAGTCAGCTAGCCAGAGATTCCTGCTTTTATGCTCTCTGGGCATACAGAGAAGGATTTCAAAAAGGAACAAATTTCTGTGATTGGCCAGAGAGCAGTATGCCAAATCCTATTGGCCAGTGCTCCTCCCCTGGGAAAGGAGCAAGCTAGTAGTTGGGCTTCAACAAATAAAGCCAGCAGTAGCAACAGCCTTGCAAAAAGTTGCAAGCTGCAATGGCATTTGCTAATGCATTGCAGTGACTGGCTGTCTCCAAGGTCCCTCTTTCCCCTCCCTCCTGGAAAGCAGAGCAAAAGGCGGGAAAGAGGTAAAAATGATGAGGAAAAGAAGGTGAGTGGAGCCCTTTAAAGTTTAAAGCTGCCCAGAGCCCGTATTCGGTAAAGCCAAAAAAAGCAGAAAAAGGCCCGAAATTTTTCGGGGTTTTTTTTTTGGCATGCAGTATTTGGTAGCCGAATCAGCTCAATATCCAAATCAGCCAAATATCCGAAAAATGCCGTAAAAGTTTTTTCAGGTTTTTTTCCAGTTCAGCTTTACCGAATGCACACCCCTAATCCAGATATTGGTCCCTGGTTTAATGCATTCAATAAATTTGTGTTGGCTCTTTTTTAAAAACAGATGTGTACATGTACATGCATTCACTGTAACATGTGAACAGGGTAGTGCTGCCAGGTCTCCCCCGGCCACTGGTGTGTGTGGAGGAGGTAGGGCTGCCAGATCCAGGTTGGGAAACTTGTGAGTCCTGGAGATTTAGGGATGTAGCCTGGGGAGGACAAGGATCTCAGTGGGATACAATCCCATAGAGCCCACCCACCAGAGAAGCCATTTTCTCCAGGGGAACTGATCTCTGTAGTCTGCTGATGAGCTGTAATTCTGGGGGATCCCCAGGTTCTGCCTGGAGGCTGGCATCCCTAGAACAGGGCTAATGCTGCTGGAATGGCCCATTCTGTATCCCTGCTGTATAATTGTATTGTATTATGTATTATGGTATAAGTCAATTTGTTCCTCATTGTGTTTGACCTCTAAAGAAGGCCTAAAGAGGCCGAAACACATCAGGTCAAGTCCATTGGCCCTTGCGTGTATATATGATTTTGGAATGTTTATATGAGGTGCAATTGGACCCATATATGTTTTTTAAAAATTCTTTACAAATAAATACATACATTTTTATACATTATATATATAAAGTTTTAACTGTTGGCCCTCTACTCGGTTTGACTTACCCTTTTAGGTTCTTGACCCAAGGTTACACCAGCAGATGCATGTGGAGGAGTGGGGAATCAAACCCAGTTCTCCCAGATTAGAGTCCACCACTCTTAACCACTACATCAAACTGGCTCAGGTACAAGCTGATAACATCCCTGAAAGGTGCCAGGTCGTGCCAGCCATTTTGCCACATGCCCGCACAGTGTGGCAACCATGGCTCCAGCAGCTTTGATGCCACTTCCCAGTGCCTACTAGTAATGGTATCACAGCACCCTCTTCTTTCAGTGCTGGGGACTAGGATATTCTCTGTGAGCCATGCTACGAGCCACAAACAAGGCATGAAGGCAACATTCCTCCCCTGGCATTTGCCCTCAGTAGCAGGTTTTCCAAAGGATACACCTTTTGAGCAAGGAGATTACATTTAGTTATCATGGATATGTATAAAAGAGAGACTGGGGAGATAACACATTTGCATTTTGTTTTGTTTTAGGAGCAGCTAAAGGCTCTCGACCAAGAAGTAAATGAGTTTGTGGACTATATGTTTGGAGCTAGAGGTGAGTATTCTTTTCTCAGAGCTGTCAATCCCAGAGATCTAGAGTAACATCCTAAACTGAGTTACACCCCTCTAATCCCATTTACTTTGATGTTCTTCAAAGTCTGTAGCTGTTTAAGATGGTGCCGTTAGTGTCACTAGGATATGTAGGAATTTGCATGACTGTAAGAGTGAATTGAACCACAAGATCGATATTTAATTCTGTAAGTGGCAGTTAATGATACCTTAATGTTTAGATTATGATACACTTAATAGCTTTATAGCACTTTCTCAACATAATGCTAGTAATATTAGAGCGAGACAGAGAGCACCTTTTCTGAGAGCTCAAAACATTTCATATGCATTTTTTTCAGCAATATATCTAATAGCCTAGTACGGCCATGTAGATTTTTAAAAAACCCAACAACACAAGGGGAGGCACATGAGGCTAAGGCATATTTTCTGCAAATATGGGGGGAATCTTGGGTTTGCAGAAAAAGATGGAAGCTTTAAGAAGGGGAGCCAGTTTGGTGCAGTGGTTAAGTGTGCGGACTCTAATCTGGGAGAACCGGGTTTGATTCCCCCCTCCTCCACTTGCACCTGCTGATGTGACCCTGGGTCAGTCACAAGCTCTGGCACAGCTGTCCTTGAAAAAGAGCAGTTTGTGTCAGAGTTCTCTTGGCCCCCCCCACCTCACAGGGTGTCTGTTGTGGGGAGGGGAAGGGAAGGGAGTTTTTAAGCCCCTCAGAGACTCCGAGTGAAGGGCGGGGTATAAATCCAATCCCCTCCTCCTCCTCCTTCTTCTTCTTCTTCTGTAAAAGTGATGACTCCCTGTGTAGATATCATGGCAGAGAGAAGAACTTTGGGTGCATATTGGGTTGCTGAAGCAATTCAAAATGGTGCCCAATAATGGAAAGAGGTGAATAAAAGGGGTGGACAGCAGATGGGGTGTACAGAAAAAGGAGAAACCACAGGGGCTGTACGGGAAAGAGAGAAGATGAAGGGGAGAAAACATTGGGGGTTGCACATGGCTGAGAGGAAAGGCTGGGTGCAGTGGGCAGATGGGCAAGGGGACAGAGATAATCATGAGGGTGAGTACATCTTGGAGGAAGAAACTGAGAGGGAAAACATTGTGAATGATGCAGTAGATTGAGGGCTACATCGTTGTCTAAACAACGCAATGCCTTCTTCCGCACAAGAACCCTTGTGTGTCTAGGGGAAGCGGTATGTGTGTGTGTATGTGAGAGAGAGCATCAGAAACAGAACTTAGAGATATCGTCAAACTAAGGTGGAATTGATGTTTATGGCTAAAAATCATGGGTGTGGTGTTTCCATAGGGTTGCCAGCTTTGGGTTGGGAAATACTTGGAGAGTTGGGGGGGTGGAGCCTGGGAAAGGCAGGGTTTGTGGAGGGGAAGGACCTCAGCAGAGTCCAATATCATAGGGTCCACCTGCCAACACAGCCATTTTCTCCAGGGGAACTGATCTCGGTCACTTAGAGATGAATTGTAATAGTGGGAGATCATCAGGTGCTACTTGGGGGTCGGTAACCCTACGTATCCACAGGGCTTCTGCTTGGTGGCAAATTTGTTTCCTCCCCATTTATTGATTTATTTATTTAATCATGAGATTTCTATTCCATTTTGTCTGAGTCCTGCTTGAGGTGGCTTACAATTACGATAACAAGTTAACAATATAAAAACAAGCCATTACTTTGATACTGCCTCCTTAAGCAAATTCATACTCCAAGACCGGAAGAGGGAGCAGACGTCATGAAGACGTTGGCGGATATGCTAAAACAGGTACTGGAGCAGCTTGGTGGTATTAACCAGCAAATGGCCACGTTAAATCAAAACTTCACCTCGCAGCAACACCAGCTGGCAGAGACAGAAAAGAAAGTGGAGCATGCAACTGAGAAACTGGTGGAGATGGACACTGAGAGCAAAAAGATGAAGAAAAGAGTGAAAGATGTGGAAGTAAAACAAAAAATGCAGGAAAATCGTCTTTTAGAGCTGCAAATGGAGAAAGCCAATTTGATTCTCAGATTCCAAGGAGTGCCTGAAAAGGAGAAAGAAGATCTAAAGAAGACTCTGGGAGAGATTATCGCCCCAGCAACAGGCTTATCAGTGGAAGAAATAGTAAAAGATATAGAGTCTGCCTATCGGACATACTCTAATTATATTAAAAAACAGCCTACCTGGGGAGATTGTGGTTAAGTTTGCAAGAAGACAGACCAGAGATGTCATATTGAAGGCAACTTCGGCAAATCCACTGAAATTTGGGAATACAATTATGAGGACTCTAAAAGACATTCCATTTGAAATTTGTCAAAAGAGGAAGAGCTAATATGAATTAATCTCATTTCTTCAAACAAATGGAATAAAATATTGGTGGGGGATTCCTGAAGGTGTCATCTTTAAAATTAACGACAGAAGAGAGAAGATCGACTCCATCTTTAAAGCGAAGGAATTTCTGAGACGGCAGCTGGGATCAGAAGAAGAACTAAAGGATGAAGAAACAAAATCGAGTGACTCTGTTACCTCTTGAATGGATGAGGACTCTGTTGGTGAAGCGGGAGCGGGAGCAAGTAAAACTGTGTATGATTTTAGAGAGAGAAAACAGAAGTAAGGGCAGAAGGACTCTGAAAATGGCCCTATGAAGATAAGAAGATGCTCAAGAAGTGTTCTCAAAATACTAAACCTACTAATATTGAAGCAGTAGTTAAAAAAAAACAACAACTCACAAGTATAATGTTATACTAACATGTATTTACTAACATGTACTTTAACACGGATATGATTCCCTACTCTTGGGTTTTTAGTTAGTGTGGGTATCTTTTCTTTATCCCTAGTTGTAGTCCTTCTCTTTATTTTCTGTTGTAGTTATGTAGTCTTATGAAAAAATAATAAAATTACCCTTTCGGGGGGGTTAAAAAAATCATTAGCATTTCTGACATTTCCTTAGCTGCAGGCAATGGCTCTTAAATGCATTAAACAGCAAACCACTTCTGTTATCCCCGGGTCACTGACCTGAGCACCAGCATTTCTTTTATGTCAGTACTTTTTTTGATCATGAGAGGTGCTGACATCTTTCTTACTTGAACTCATCGTGTGGAAGAAGGGTAGAGAAAGAAAGGCTCGAGGCAGCTAGTGCTGCTTCAGTTCCCTCTAGTACTAGAGTGGAACTGTGAGAGAAAGGTTTTTAGGCCACAAAGAATGTGTGCTTTGTATACACTGAAAGATTTTTGGTGACTAACCTGTTGAATGTGAAACAGCATAACAGCAAAAATCTGTCCATTTTAGGGCTGCCAGTAAGGTTGGCAGATTCCACTGGCTGCTGGTGAGGGGTGGAGGTAGGGTTGCCATCTCCAGGTTGGAAAACTCTTGGAGATTTGGAGATGGAGCCTGGGGAGGACAGGGGACTCAGTAGGTACAAGGCCATAGAGTCCGCCCTCCAAAGCATCTGCAGTCTGGAGATGAACTGTAATTCCAGGGGATCCCCAGGTTCCACCTGGAGGCTGCCATCTCGAGTTGCCAGGTCTGGGTTGGGAAATATGTGGAGATTCTGGGGGTGGAGTCTGAGGAGAGCAGGGTGTGGGGAGGGGAGGGGAGGAACTTCAATGGAGTATAATGCCATAGAGCCCATCTTCCAAAACGGCCATTTTCTCCAGGTGAACTGGTCTCTATCACCTGGTGATAAATTGTAATCCCAGGAGATATCCAGCCACCAGCTGGAGCTTGGCAACTCTGGTGTCATAAGTCAGTCTGTGCCAAGTGATGGCTCAGATTTCTCAGACGAAGAGCTACCTGCTAGCCCTGAACCAATCATGGAACAGCCAGCTGCAGCTGGTTGTGAGCCAGAAGGAGAACAACAAGAGATCAGATTACCAGCTGATCAGGAGTCACAGCCTACACCTTGTAGCTCTGAAGCAGTAAACAAGTCTTCAGCAGCCACTCCCAGCCCACCTAGCTCACCCACACCCTTGCAACACCAATGACTTGCTTAGAGTTGCAAGAAAGGAGAAGAAGTGCAAGACTCATGGCCTGTCGTCAGCTGTCAATTTAAGAGACGAATGAGTAGTTTCAGGATGACTGCCAAGAAATTGGCTGGGATTTTAGCTCATTAAGGCTTGGCTATAAATTCAGCTGGGAGAAGCAGCAGTTTGTGAATGCAGTACTGTGCTACCGAGCCACCAGCCTTGCTGCTACTGGACCTCTGCAACCACGACAACCTGACAACCAACTGGAACCCCTGACCTCAGATTGGATTTGCTGCCTGGAGCTCCTTGATCCCAGACTGGACTTTGGTAAACCTGTTGTCTGGAACCCCTGCCTTTTGGACTGGACTTTGGTTACTCTCTGCAACCATGCCTGTGCCTCCCGGGGAAGCTACATCAGTACACCTGGGTCCTTTCTGCACTCTTCTTTTAATCCATGTTCATCAAATTCAACCTTGTTTTTAATCCATTTTTTCCCTCATTCTGCACTAAAATCAAGTTCAACCTTCTTTTTATTCTGACCCCCCCCCCAATTCTGCATTACATTTGCTCCCTTCAGTGTTCAGCCCAGTTTCAGCCTGCTGTGGCCCAGGGTTATTTGGTTGCTGTTTTGCCGTGCACTTAAATTGCCTCGACTCAAAAACTGAGAAAATCCAGAGTGGCAGGCAAATGTGGAAAGGACCCTAGTTTATTTGCTATTGAGTAACACTTTTCCATTTCAGTTTATGCCACATAAACTGACACTAATGTTAACAGATCTGTTTATTTACTTCACTTCACTTATCTCCTCCCTTTCTCCCCAGTGGGGGCCCAAAGTGGCTGACATCCTTCTCCTTATTTTATCCTCACAACAACCCTGTGAGCTAGGTTAGGCTGAGAGAGTGTGACTGGCCCAAAGACACCCAGCAAACTTCCATGGCAGAGTGGGGATTTGTAGCTGGGTCTTCCAAGTCCTAGTCCGACACTCTGACCACTATACCTCACTCTGGCCTGTATTTTTAAGCACCTGACTACCACAGCAATGAA